AGCTGGCTGGATGGCTGGTTTGCAGTACAGAGTGATGCCAATATCACGGGTTTAATTCCTGCAGCAGTTGTGGTTATAATGAAGGACTCCCCTTGTTAACCTCTCCCCTTGCCTGACATGTGGTGATCCTCTCTAGTAAGAGAGCAGCACTAAAGTCTGGTAGGACTATAGTGACTTTATTCTATCAGTATACACCTCCAAAATAATATCTCCCTCTGTATGAAAACATTAATCTGAACCTTCATCAACTTTAAAATGGATTACTTGAAAGCTATCCTACTAGCCTCCCATTTTGATGCTTCACAACTTCCACATGATCTCAAACTCTCTAATCCCGGTCGCCCCTCACATGAAAGCTATGATTTCAATCTATGCAAGCTCTAGTGGCTCTCTATTCTTTGACACACCAATGTTGCTGTCTTTTATTTTAAAATTTCATCTTATCTCAGTGATTTGCAGCAACTCCTCCTGGCAGCCTCCACCCTTCCAACTGGAAATTAAGTTTTGTTTCCATTTACTTCTCCCCCACCCTCAAAGAACAATCTTTTATTCACTAGAAGAGGTGACCAAACACGTGGATGAAGATAGAGCAATGGATGTGGATTTAAGCAAGGCGTTTGATAAGGTTCCCCATGGTAGGCTCATGCAGAAAGTAAGGAGGCATGCGATAGGGGGAAATGTGGCAGATTGGATTCAGAATTGGCTGACCCTTAGAAGACAAAGGGTGGTAGTGGACGGAAAATATTCAACATGGTGCTCAGTTACGAGTGGTGTACCACAAGGATCTGTTCTGGGTCCTCTTCTATTTGTGATTTTTGTAAATGATTTGGATATGGGAGTGGAAGGGTGGATGAGTAAGTTCGTGGATGATACGAAGGTGGGTCGAGTTGTGGATAGTACGGAGGGTTATTCTAGGTTACAAAAGGACATTGATAGAATGCAGAGCTGGGCTGAGAAGTGGCAGATGGAGTTTAACCCTGAAAAGTGTGAGGTCATTCATTTTGGAAGGACAAACTTGAAAGCAGAATACAGGGTTAACGGAAAGATTTTTGGCAGTGTGGAGGAGCAGAGGGGTCTTGGGTTCATGTCCACAGTTCCCTAAAAGCTGCCACCCAGGTGGATGGAGTTGTTAAGAAGGCGTATGGTGTGTTAGCTTTCATTAATAGAGGGAGTGAGTTCAAGAGCTGTGAAGTTATGCTCCAGCTAGACAAACCCCTGGTTTGGCCACATCTGGAGTATTGTGTCCAGTTCTCGTCACCTCATTTCAAGAAAGATGTGGAAGTGTTGGAAAGGTGCAGAGGAGATTTACCAGGATGTTGCCTGGAATGGAGGAAAGATCTTAGGAGGAAAAGTTGAGCGCGCTAGGGCTTTTCTCTTTAGAACGACGAAGGATGAGCAGTGACTTGATAGAGGTGTACAAAATGATCACAGGTATAGATAGAGTAGACAGCCAGAGACTTTTTCCTAAGGTGGAGGTAGCTATTACGAGGGGGCATAGTTTTAAAGTGAGTGGAGGTAGATATAGGGGAGACATCAGAGGTATGTTCTTTACTCAGGGAGTGGTAGGGGCATGGAATGCATTGCCGGAGTGGGTAGTGGAGTCGGCCTCATTAGGGGCATTTAAGCAGCTATTAGATAGGCATATGGATGTACATGGTAGGGGTGGAGGTTAGATAGACGTTAGGATTAGGGTAAAAGTTTGGCACAACATTGTGGGCCGAAGGGCCTGTACTGTGCTGTTCTGTGTTCTGTGTTCTGTGTTCTGTGTTCTGTGTTCTGTGTTC